CACTCCCCAAATTGGCCTTTTTCTACTCTCAAAAGGCTGAATTTCCTTTTGCAGAAGCATCCAGGAGATGCAATTCAATTCCTAAATAGGTTGCAGGGCCTCCTAGTATTGTTTAAAAACAAAAGAATACTAATTTAAAAAGATAACTGACATGGACTTATGGCCACTTCTTTGAGTTTTATTGGAAGTATGTGCTGCCCCTAACAGGATCCAGAGGCAGATAGCTGGCCTCTACATTCACTGCAGTTCCTATCCTTGATATAGAATCTTCTTTGTGAGCAAGATCTAAAGCTACCTACCAGGGCGGATCTAAGATGGTTTCCTACCTGGGGTAATAGACAAGATAGTAACCTAACACTTACTCTATTGGCAACTGAATCTTATTTTGATACTTGATAAAGGATAGGGTTCTCCACCACATTTGGGGCCATCAAACTACTTTAAAGGGCAAGGTGAGGGCTGGGAAACCTTGCTTTTATTATTTATTTTTATATATTTTTATTTCATTAATATGCCACCTTTCTCCCCAGTGGGACCCAAGGCAGCTCACAGACAAGAATCCTCCAGACAGAATGACCATGGAGAGCATAGAATTCCTAAGACTTTTGCAGAAACAGTAAGGGGATTTCCTCTCAACTTTACCAAAGATAGTTGCCTCACTCTTCCTAAGGATAGGCAGATTCCTGATTCCTGATTGCATGGAAGCCTCCATATGTGGACACCAGTAGGTGCAAGGTTCTTCTGTTTGCAGATATTTATGTGGATTCAGAGGAGGTGCTACTTTATCCCTGCAACACCAGGAGGAGAACTACACAGTGTGACACAACTCCATGCTTACACTTTCAACTTACTTCAAGATATAATATCCAGTAGGACAAAGTTTGTGGAAAATGCGGTGGAACCTCATTTGGATCATGTCTTCCGGAATTCCACAACCAGTATAGCCTCTAGTCACAGGGGAATTCTCAAAGTTGTAGCCTAAAAAGTAACCTTTTCCAATAGAGTTATTGTGACTGTGTTGAAATCAGCTTCACGGCTGATGGGATTTAATCATAGATTGTTTCACTTAGAGTTCCCAGGTCTCAGGGCCTGTACCCTTTTCTCTGGTGCTCAGGGTAAGGAGGCTCAGGGTGAGAGCACTTCTTTGAATTGGGAGAATCGGTGAATAGGTGTGATCCTCATTTATTAGACTTGGGTTGTTTTATAAGAATGGCATACTCTATTTAATGTCCCATGCTTAAGAATATCACCAGGGGCATCACCCTTGTAATGTCACAGGAAGGACACCTCCTGTGGCATCACAAAAAGTCATCCCTATGTCTCAGCTTTGGGCCCTTAAATCCTGGGGCCTGGGATAGCCTTGTCCAGCAATTCTAGTCCTCATTCAACTCCTCTTCTCCCAGGTGCCCAGGAGGCAAAAGCATCATGAAGTAATTTTTGAAAGTGTTTCTCACAACTATCGTGCTGATTGAGAAATCTCTGCTTCACTGATATGGGTCACCAATGATGGACTGTGGCTAGGATCAGTTCAGACTGACATAAAGGTGAAAGGGGCTACAGTGTTGCTAGAAATCACAGTAAATTGAGCAAAGAAGCCAGTCCCTACAATGCTGCACTTACCAATATTAGTTCATAAAAGTAAAAGGAATTTATTTTAGTCTCAGATAATCCACAGACTTGCTTAGTAATATAAATACAGGGATGGGGCTGCAACCATTTAATACTGTGAATGGAATACATACACGCCACTCTCCCATACAATGATGGAAATCTCTCCTAATTCCATCTGACACAATGGGAGATGCTTTGGATAGGAAGTATAGTTGCAATCAAATTTGGCTCCCCACATTTTACTTAGCTTGAAGATTCAAAAGGATTTTGGTAAGGAGGAGGGGAAACAGTTTTTCCACCATTGACATTTCAAAACAGGAAATCAAAGCTATGTTTGACATTTATGAAAAAATTGTACTCTGAAATTTGTGCTATGGGAGATATGGAAGGTTATTTATTTATTTTTAAAGCTTTTTACAAAGTTTGAAGATTTTCAAACTGTATTTTGCATAGAGTTTGGTAAAGTCCTTCAAAGTTTAGGCTAGCTTTCTCCAATATAAAACCCTCTAGATGGTTGGAGTTATAATTCATTTTGCATCAACCCTAAACATTATGGCTAATACTAAAGAATTATTGGAATTGTAGAACCTATGTGGTATAGTGGTTTGAGTATTGGACTACAAACCTAGAGACTAGGGTTCAATTCCCCACTCAGCCATGGAAACGCACTGAGTGAGTCTAGGCAAGTCACACACTCTCAGCCTCAGAAAGCCCCATGATAGGTTCACCTTAGAGTTGCCATAAGTCATAAATGACTTGAAGCTACACAACAACAGTATAAAATTACTAAAGAAGCTCAAAGAGGAAAATGCCAAAGTATGCTTAATGCTGAACATTAAGAAAACAAAAATAATGACCGCAGAAGATCTGCAAGAATTCATCTTACATAATGAGAAAATTGAAATAATTAAAGACTTCCCAGATTGCCATCAAGAAATTAGAAGAAGACTAGGATTGGGAAGGGCAGCTATGAAAGAACTGGACAAGATCCTAAAATATAAACATTTAACATTTACATGTCATGTATGGATGTGAGCACTGAGCAGTGAAGAAACCTGATAGGAAGAAAATCGACTCATTTGAGATGCGGTTCTGGAGAAAAGTGCTGAGGATACCATGGACAGGCAAGAAAACAAACAAATGGGTCCTAGAACAGATCGAATCTGAACTCTCCTTGAAAGCCAGCATGACTAAATCGAGGCTGTTTTACTTTGGCCATATCATAAGTTGTGAATCATTAGAAAAGACAATGATACTAGGAAAATTAGAGGGCAGCAGAAAGAGAGGAAGGCCAGATGGTTAGACTCAATCAGGAATAATAATATAATAATAATAAATTTTTATTTGTAGCCCGCCCCCTGCAAAGCAATCGGGGCGGGGAACAACAGCATTTAAAACAGAACAACATTAAAAAATTCCCTCTCCCTATAATCCCTTCCTCCCCCACCCCATCCCCTTAAAATAGAATTAAACCATAGAATAATTAA